TCATTCCTTTTGTTTTGTTTTGTTTTCTTTTGTTTTCTTTTGTTTTCTTTTGTTTTCTTTTGTTTTGTTTTGTTTTGTTTTGTTTTGTTTGTTTTGTTTTATTTTATTTTGTTTTGTTTGTTTTGGCTGTCCCTCATCATTCTAGCATCAGAATTTCCAGAGTTTGCGCCATTCCCTAATCTTTGCAGCCATAGTAGTCATCGCACCCTCCTTATCAGTACCGAGCCTCGTCCTTCTTTACCCAAATTCTTCTTTTTATTTTTCCTACTTATTTTCCTTTCTTATGGAAATTCCGCATCCTGTTCCATCACGTATTAAAATTAAAATTAAAATTAAAATAATAATAATAATAATAATAACACTAACGAATTATGTTTAAAAAAAGGGAATCTCTTCCTTCTACGTTCTAACCGAACTTAGTCATCAATTGCGTCGCAGTTGCCGCTTCCTGTCCACTGCAGCAGCAATGCCGTTGCAGTTTCTGTTTCTTTGTTTTTTTTTTTGTTTTTTTTTTTTGTGTGTGTGTGTGTGTTGGCCTTTCCCTTCGTCGTCTCAGCTGCCGCAAATGTCGAAACCCACCCTACTCCAGCAACGGCTTTTGCCATTTTGTTCTGAAATCGCTTTACCAGCAACACCCATCATCTCATCTCCCGCGTCTTTCCCTGCTTGTCTGCGCCTTTCTCTGACACGAACCAGTCGCTGACTGTTTAACTGGTCGCTCCTACTGGTAGCATGGAATTTTTCAAGTTAGCCTTCCTCTTAGATATCGGTCCGTTTTCCTGTTTTCCTTTGTATTCTTCATTCAGTAAAAATCCGTCGAAGCTCTGTTTGAAATAAAGGTAAACATACCAACATAGATATCATACATAATACGGCGCGGCGGCGCCATACATAATACATTCACGCATATATAAACACAAATATATACATACATACGTATACATATATACATATATATCGTATATATACATATATACATATATCGTCACAAACAGAACTGCCCGGTAAACCGTAGGCAGAGAGAGAGAAGAGGACAACAAACAAGGGGCTGTGACAGTACATATATGTATATATATACATATATACACATGTTTCAGTTATGCATTTGTTTATTATATGTATTATGTACACGGTTGGCGATTAATTCTTTTTTTTCCCCTTCTATCTATCTATCTATCTATCTATCTATCTATCTATCTAATCTAATCTAATCTAAACATATGTATATACATTCACGCATATATAAACACAAATATATACATACATACGTATACATATATACGTATCCACATCACGTGCATGTGTACGCGAATCCATACATACATACATACATACATACATACATACATACATACATACATTGATACGAATATCATAATGCATGTACATACATAGATAGGCTCACACATAATACAGACATACAGAGTACATACAGAATAAATTTTCACATCAATACATAATATACGCTGATAGATAGATAGATAGATAGATAGATAGATAGATAGATAGATAGATAGATAAATAGATAGATAGATAGATGGAAGGGAAAAAAAAGGGAATGAATCGCCAACCGTGTACATAATACATATAATAAACAAATGCATAACTGAAACATACACACAAGTCATTTTCACCCACCAGTCCGACTACAGACAGGGGCGGTAAAACCTATACAGAAGAAAGGTGAAGAAAAAAAAAAACACCTTCAAAACAGACATGTAGATTTCTTCTCGCACAAAGTCCATCAGGAGAGATTCGAAAACTTCAGAACAAAAGCAACGGGAGACGGTAAGAAGGAGGGGGAGGTGGTTGTAGGAGGGAGGGGGAGGTGGCTGTAGGAGGGAGGGGGAGGTGGCTGTAGGAGGGAGGGGGAGAAGAGGAGGGAGGGGAAGAAGAGGGGGGAGGTTGTGACAGCATCCCAAAAAAAAAAAACACAATTTTGAACGCAGAGTTAGAAAGAGGGGCAAGAAGAAAAACAAAGAAGACGGGGCAAGACAAAAGACAAGCAAAACCAAAAACAGCAGGTAAGACAAGCAACCAAGCCCCTCGAATATGTACTCACGCTGCAACTTTTTTTAACAGAATCTGGACAGAAACGTTGTCAGGTACATCCACAAAAGTCATAGTGTGACGATGCTCTAACTCAGAGCCTACCTTTCTCTGATGAAACTGCAGCTTTAAGGAAAACGCTTTAAGGGAAGGGAGGGGGGGGAAGGGGGGGGAAACAAAGGAACAGTGAGTCCGATGGGATTGAGCGGGCGTACTCACACACTTTCTCTATCTTAAATGCATCTGACCGCATTTACGGCCAGACCTGGATGTATATGACCGCAATTACGTCTATAAATAAGCGAAACAGTCCTAATGTGAGTATGCCCTGAATGGGGATAAGATGAAAGATTTTTTTTTTTTTTTTTTCTTTTGAAACACACATTCGGGGCCCATCTATTTTGGGGGGCAGCAGTCCTGTTACTTATCACCGGTATGCATGTGAACAAGATGAGTAATTGCGGTCATATAAGTAACTGGAAGGAAGAAGAAAACAAATGCATGTGAACATGGAAGATTGTGCAACACACACCTTGAGAGAATTTTCTTCTTCTCCCTTCCAGTTAAAAAACACGGCGAGATTCCAAAGATGAAGATAATTTTTATTTTTTTTCGAATACTAGAAACTTTTTGAAAGAGATCCGCGATCTACTTCCGGCCAATCAGAGCCAACAAAATGAGTGTTACTACGTTTACACCTTCAAACTGAAAAGCAGATCGAAGACGAAAGCAGCAAAAGGGATCTTCCTTTAGAGTATAATAAGAAAAACGAGCAAAAATGCTGGCAAATGCCGTTCTATAACCGAAATAATACAGCTAAAAAAAAAAAAGAAGAAAATAACATCAACGTCCTCAAAATGTACAAAGCACAGTAACTGCCTCTCTCTCTCTCTCTCTCTCTCTCTCTCTCTCTCTCTCTCTCTCT